CTCTCACACAGTTTGCGTGCACCCACTCCTAACTGTGCCAATCAAGCAGCACCTGAGGACAAAAGAGAGAGATCCCCTATTCACAGCCTTGTAGGGTGCTTCCTCAGTGGAAGAGGGGAAAGCAGCGTACTGTGAGAACATTTTCTCTCTTCCTCTCACCGTGTGGGAAAACTCCTCTGCCCCTCTCACACATCAAGCCGGACAAGGACTCACTCATTTATTCGTCCTTTATTAAATGAGACCATGGACACATCAGTTACAATAACACTGAACAATGGTCTCAAGGGCCTGTTGTTTAGCCCTGGCTTCCAGGACTGCTTTATACATGGTACTTCCTATGTGGAATCAGTTTTTGTTAGGAGTTGGTAGTCTGAAAAGACACGTCCTTGGCACTGGAGCCATATCCTACTGTAAAAAGACATGCCAGGACTGATACAATGATCAATGATTGGCTTATTCTCCTGGATTTGTGTCTTGATTGTGCTCCAACCCTTTGTTGTTGTGATATATAACCCTTTGCAGTGTTATGGAAAAAAAAATAGTTGTCAGATTTTCTTCTTATTATTTTTTTTTAAACAAAAATAGTGACTGTGAAAATTGTTTTTGCAAATTCCGGCAGTACAGTATACATTATAATTTGTCATATACACAAATACGTGTACTGTACATTGTAATAATTTTCACCCATTTCAGCTTAAAAACGTTAAGTTCAGTTGCCTAAATTTCTGAGCAGAATCAAATTGGCTGTACTGTACATTTCAATTTAAATGATTTAAAACTGACTTTAGTTGAATCTTGTATAATTTGTAAAAAAAAAAAAATGTTGAAATAGTTATATAATGTTGTTAATGTAAAAACATGCCATATTGATCATATACTGTACTCAGTGTGTGATCAATTATCGTATATACATTCCAAAAATACAGTGACAGTCAGCAACATTAGGCAAATATTTGCAGTATCAGCCATTAAAACTATATACAGTATATTATTTATATATTAATTATATATGTATACATAAATTATATATACAGTATATATAAAGTATATATGCTGTATATATATTGAAAAGGTGGACGAGAAAGACTTAAATTACTTAACATAAAATAGTCTTTTTTAAATTGACAAGTGTCCTCTGACCTCTGTTACACTTGTAATTGACATCCACCTGTATGTGTGAGGCAGGAAGTCCTGGCGCACAGCTTTAAATGGCTCTTCTCCTGACCGACAGGCTGGCACACTTGTTTTTCCTGGAACATCTGCAAGCATGAGAGTGTAGAGTCACACTAAGCTGGTCTTTGCAGCTGGCTACAGGCATAACACTCAAAGGTAAACAGGGAAAAACAGGGAAAAACCCCTTGCATTATCCTCCGGAATAGATGTCTGTATAGCGCAGTGTTGGGGGTGGAAATAGCCCCCCTATCAGGGAGCAGGTGCTTCCTCCAGCAAGTCTTCTTATTTATCCACATATACAGCCATGTTTGGGAAACCATGGACACCAGCTCAGTGCTGCACAGGTGGACAAAAAAGGGGAACCGAATTCATAATCTCATAGTAACTATTCCTCATTTGGCTTTCTAAACCCTTCAGGATTTTTTTTAAATGGTAATATATATATATATATATATATATATATATATATATATGGGGGGAATGTGGCAGATTTGATCCCTGCGAGAAGCAGTGAGCTTCAATATCACTGTATGCTTGACTTCTGTATGCAGACACATTGGTCTGTCATCACTTTTTGATTATGATGCATTATTATCATCATATTCCTCATATATACTGTATAAGGTAAGCAACTACCTATGTGAGACTTAATTGACTGAAGTTTAAGTTTAAATAGTATTTAACCAGTAGAAATAAAAAAGGGGGGAAAGTGTTCTCAGAAATGTGTTTCTTGAATTACTGGTTCCATATGGTTGTAAAGAACGTTTAAGGTACAATATGCAGGATTTTTGCAGTAAAATATCCCAAAACCACTAGGCCAATGTTATATATTTTGTTTAGTTGATTACTTACAATATCCCAAATGTTTCCAACTATTTGTAAATCGTGAGAAAATTGAGATTTTTAACCAAGGAAACAGGGCGTGTGAGCAGGGGTGAGGAGTCGCCAGTCAATGACGTCATATCCGCTTTACCCCTGGTTTCTGTCAGGTTTGACCTCGTACTGGTAGTAACCATGGCGACAGACGTGAGACGTTCACGTCCGTGACTGACTTCGACTTGACAGAAACGAGAGTGTTACATGTTACTTGAGCAAACAGGCGAGCAAATCAATGTATACAAAACTAATCAATGTTATATAGTTCAACATGATGAAAAGTTAGAATATGATCTGTATGTTATTCTCTAATGTTAGTCTTATACAGCCAACAAACAAACAACCTAAGCCATTCAACACACACAAATGCCGTTTACTGTGATAGTGAAACTGTTAGAGCAAGTGAAGCAGCGCTGCGTTAGTTTAATTCCTCGAATAAACTGACCTGTGTGAGTAATTCAGCGTGTAGTTCGGTGGAATTAAATGTCCTTATTCCCTTATATCCACAGGACTTGCGTTGCGTGTGGTGCTGGTATACGTCTAGCAATCGCCCCTGCTTCATACCACAGTCATGTTAAAAACATCAATGTATTCACTCATCCATAAAAGATCCATCAGCCTGACGACAAGATCCATAATTCTTAATGCGGAATATGTGTCATTAATATACGCCTTTGTTATTGTACGAGGTTAGCGACCCCTGGTGGCGAAAAAATCTGGCATATTGTACCTTTAACTAAAAGTTGTATTTTCTCAAAATTTTTCTTTGTATTTAATAACCTGAACCCCTTTCCTTAAAAAGGTAAAATCCTATCTGATATTTTAATAGACTTATTGACCAGGGGTTCTATGATATCATTTCCTGATTTAAGGTTGTTGTTGTTGTTTATTCGCACCCTTTTAAGACTGAAAGCAAATAAAGCAGTTTCTGTTTCACCATTTGACTATAGCTTTCAAATGATTACAAAGTTAACAGAGAAAAGCAATATCTTTCTGTATTCTCTTTAAACTGGCATGCAAACATATAACTATGTTCTCTTCCACTGGTCCGTCTTTACATGATGCTGAAATGCAAACGGACTCTCTCTTTGTAAAGAGATGGAAGGCACTCTAGGATATTGTGAGAACTTGCGAGATTAGACAGCTGTGTTTTGTCGGCTGCTTCAGCCCCGCCTTCGAGTGTGGCACTCGGTCGATGGGAGTGACACCAATTATTTATGTCACATTCCCTCCGGAAGCAGAGGATGGAAACTCAACAAGAGAGGACCATCCATCAGACTTGTCCAATGGGGCTGTATATACCTATGACTCCAGCACTGCGAAGGCAGGGAATGAAGTCTCTTAGGACAGTTTCAAATAACCAGCCACACACTTACCCTGTCAGAAAGAGACAGTAATTAAAAGTCCCAGAATATACATACCATTTAGTCTGCAAATATCAATTTTAGACTAAAGGATTGTAAAAGGTGATGCCATATTAGGGGGTGTGAGCTTGAGTAATTGGAGTTGCCGTGGAATCCTTGGGCTCTGCCCCTGTTCAGTGAACTGGCCGGCCTGTTAAAAACACAGCGAAGTTAGGGAGGAAAAACAAAATGCAGGTTGTTTCAGATCTCTCACTGGCTGGGAATTGACTCTTAACTAGGTGGTTGATGGATGAGGTGAGTCAGGTTATTAATAGTTTGCTGATTTTCACCTTCAATATTTTCAGGGGGCATTTTTTATTTTGTCATTAATGTCATGGTATGATCTATTGAAGGTTCAGAGACAAAGTCAGCTCCCTTGAAATAATTTTCCTCTTAACTTCTGAAAGGCACAGTGACCAAAGCAACAGGGCATTTGTAACGCGAGTGGACTCCAGAGTTACGGAAGATTGATAAGGTGTCTGTCATTGCACATGCATTTTACAGTAAGAAAATTGTATTTTAAGTGACTATACGTAGAAAGAGATTAGAATACTAATGAAAGAGTAAAGTCTATTATATAATCTTTCAGGCTAGGTAGGTCAAATGTACAAGTATGGCTGACATCTCTGCAAGGTGTCATTAGTGCTTAATGCTTCAGCCACACGTCGACTTAAATAACAATGACCCCATAATTCAATTAAGCAATCCTCTGGAAGGATTCTATATGTAGACATGAAGAGTACATCCAAGAGATTTAGACCCTAAAACTGGAAAAATGCATATTTTTTTTAGAAATAAACCTCTACAAGTATACTCTAAAAAATGCTGGGTTGTTTTAACCCAACTTTGGGTCAAATATGGACTAACCCAGCCGTTGGGTTAAATTTTTACATTACATTTTTAACCCAACATTTCGGGTTTGTCCATATTTGACCCAAAATTGGGTTAAAACAACCCAGCATTTTTTAGAGAGTAGCCACTTATCTACTCCAATCTTTTTTTTTTTTTGTCATTTGAAAGGTAAACAAAAATAAATAATTATAAAACAGTAACATGCATGATACATCAGAGATTACTACTCGCAGTCTAAGCCCAACCTAAATATACTTCTATATTGTTTTTAGACAATAACTCATATTTAAAACCAAAATGATGCATTTAAAAAGGCAGGAATTTAATAAATTCTAGTCACAAGGAATCGATCATATTTAAGTTAACCATTACCTTTTGGCCAGCAGAAAAGACACTGCAATAAAGGAACCACACGTACATCACTTCACTTTCCCTCCGAATGAATGTGACATCCTTCACATTTCGCTCTCAGAAAAAAAAGTTACAAAAGCTATCACTGGGGCTATACCTTTTCAGAAGTACTTAAAGGGTGCATATTGGTACCTTAATCGTACATATTAGCACCTAAAATGTACATATTAGCACCTAAATGTCCACTTTAGCACCTACAATATTAGCACCTACATGTCAATTTTAGCACCTAAAATGTACATATTAGCACGTTAATGTCCATATTAGCACCTAAAATGGACAAAAGTTTTCCCTTTTGAAAAGGTACAGCCCCAGGGACAGCTTTTGTACCTTTTTTTCTGAGAGTGTTCACTAAAGTTTTGTGTGAACACATAAGAACATATAATCCTTTTAGATGTACAATCCTTTGTGTTGTGGCAAAACATCTAAAGCGTATCTTAACGTGTACACCTCAATTCTTATAATACTGTAATATGGGTGATTTTTGGTGTACATCTGCATTTAGTACACTTACTTTAAAAGCAAGCATTACTGTACACATTCTGATTAAGCACAATGGTGGACTTTCTTTTATGCGATTTAGCAGGGATTCAAATGTTTTTCCTTTACCTTTTAATGATCTCCTACAATCAAATATGAAAACCACATTAAACACTCTGTCAATTCAACAGACATTCATTCTTTGCACTCATACACACAGGTCAGGCCTTTCCTTACACGTCACCATGTGATTTACCATTTGCAGTGTATTTAAATAAAGAGACATTTTAGTACACTTGTATAGCAGCACATGAAATATTTGTAATCTTTTATCAGCAGTTCCTTATTCCACATGGCTAAGGCTTACAACCAAGTGTTTTATACGAATAACTGCAATTACATAAGTTGTTTTGAAATACATTTAATACAGTTCTAAACACGTTTTTACCATAAAGCTAGAAGAGCTTCCTGTGCAAATTTCAGAAATTCACTTTTTACAGTACCTGAGCAGTAATGCTGTGCGTTTGCATATATAATCTGCATATACAGTACAATGGAATCATAAGTAAAGTGCATCATTTTTTATAAATAGCTTTATAATATTAAATATTATATTAAATAAATAAATAAAATAAGGGGTCCAAAGGGCTACTGAGAATAAACTCAATTTAGGTTTATAGTATTTATACGGTCTAATTATAATAAAGAAATAATCTCTCTGGAACCATTTTCACATGCTCAAAACTATCTTTCGTTCTTTTCTCTGATGTCGAGAATGATTCTACGGGTTGGCTTTCAGATGATTTAAACCATTCTGATTCTTTGTCAGTTCCTCGTGAACTTCTTCGATGGAACCTGGCTGAGATTCCATGGATGACTTTGTCATCTGCTTTTGCAAGGCATTTTCAGATGATTCCCATTCACTGTCCTTTGAATCATCATTAGTCTCATTTGTCTGGTCCTGCTCTTCCTCTGCTGTATCCTCTGTAATATCTGAGAGCTTGCCCTTCTCATTTCCATTCAACTCTTCAACCTTGTCTTTTTCCACACAAGAACTCCCTCTTGCATCATCACTCTCATCCTCTCGAGTCTCTTCATCTTCAACTTCATGTTCATTACACTCTTCCCTCCTCTCTGGTTGTCCAGTGGCTGAGAGTCTGAGGAAATTCACAGCATGAACGAGCATCTTGAAGGTTTTACGTGGAGTTTTTTCCTGTGGTTTGCCCTCTGATTCCACGACTTGGCTGAGCTCTTCTGTTTCCGAGTCCTCTCCATCAGCATCAGCCCCATCCTCAAACTCTACCAAAGCATTAGATAAAGCTTCCCCATCTGGTTTTTCATCCATTTGTTTTGGCTCTACAACAGGCTGTGAAGCTGGAGTGTTGCCATCATGTTCCCCTTCATCTGTCTCCAAATCTGGCTCGGTATCATCCTCAGCTTCATCACCAGCTTCATCTGATTCACCAATGTTGGCCACAAGACCACATTTATTTGCAATTATCTCCACACCATCATCTTCTGTCTCACTTTCTTCGCCATTATCATCAACACTATGTAGGACAACATCACCCTTGTTCTTAAGAGATGTTTCGTCTTCAACCACCTCAAGATTAGTCAAATTATCAAGATACTCTGCATCTTCAGGGTTAGAAAGAATGTCTTCCTCCTCCTTTGCTGCTCCACAACTGACTTCCTCAACGTCCGATTGACTTTTGTCTCTCTCGTCTACAGTTGTCTCATGATCAGGTGTTTGCTTTCGCTCTGCCAGTTCTAGCTCAGCATTCTTGTCTTCTGCTGTGGTGCCATCTTCAACAGTTGCTTTATCTTCAGACACCTCAGTTTGAGCTTCAGCGGTCCCTACATCTGCTGTGTCATCATCACCTGTATCAGTCTCTCCTGCAGTTTCTGCTTCAGCAGTCTGCCCATCTTCTACAGATTCATTCTCAGCCATCTCACACTCTTCTACCGTGTCATCATTAACTGTCTCACCCTTTACTGCAGTTTGATTATCACCTGTATCACCATCTTCTGTAGTTTCATCTTCAGCATTTTCTACAGATTCATTATTAGCAGATGTCTCACCCTCCACAGTTTCATCTTCAGTTATGTCATCCTCGCCAGCAGTTTGTCCATCTTCTACAGATTCAATTTTAGCAGTTGTCTCACCCTCCTGTGCAGTTTCATCTTCAGTTATTATATCCTCTCCAGCAGTTTCTGATTCAGCAGTTTGTCCATCTTCTAAAGATTCACTTTTAGCAGTTGTCTCATCCTCCTCTGCAGTTTCATCTTCAGTTATTTTATCCTCTCCAGCAGTTTCTGCTTCAGAAGTTTGTCCATCCTTTGAGGCTGTTTCACTGTCTTCTGCAGTTTCATTTTCAGCCGCCTCATGCTCTTCTCCAGTGTCGTAATTTCCCGTCTCAACTTCTTCTCCAGTTTCATCTTCTGCAGTTTGTTCATTGTCTGCAGATTCGTTTTCAACCTCCTCATCCTCTTCTACACTGTTGTTGTTTCCTTTCTCAACTTCTTCTCCAGTTTCATCTTCAGCCGTTTGCCCATCTTCTGCAGTAAAATTTTCATCCACCTCATCCTCTTCTGCAGTGTTGTCATTAACTGTTTCACCTTCTTCTCCAGTTTCATCTTCTGCAGTTTGTTCATTGTCTGCAGATTCATTTTCAACCTCCTCATCCTCTTCTACACTGTTGTTGTTTCCTTTCTCAACTTCTTCTCCAGTTTCATCTTCAGCTGTTTGTCCATCTTCTGCAGTGTCATTTTCATCCACCTCATCCTCTTCTGCAGTTTTGTCTTCTCCAGTTTCATCTTCAGCCGTTTGCCCATCTTCTGCAGTAAAATTTTCATCCACCTCATGCTCTTTTGCAGTGTTTTCATTAACTGTCTCGCCTTCTTCTCCAGTTTCATCTTCAGCAGTTTGTCCATCTTCTGCAGTAAAATTTTCTTCCACCTTATCCTCTTCTGCAGTTTCATCTTCAGCTGTTTGTCCATCTTCTGCAGTGTCATTTTCATCCACCTCATGCTCTTCTGCAGTTTTGTCTTCTCCAGTTTCATCTTCAGCTGTTTGTCCATCTTCTGCAGTAACATTTTCATCCACCTCATGCTCTTTTGCAGTGTTTTCATTAACTGTCTCGCCTTCTTCTCCAGTTTCATCTTCAGCAGTTTGTCCATCTTCTGCAGTAAAATGTTCATCCACCTCATCCTCTTCTGCAGTTTTGTCATTAACTGTCTCACCTTCTTCTCCAGTTTCATCTTCAGTTATTTTATCTTCTCTAGTGGTTTCTGCTTCTGGAGTTTGTCCATCATCTAAAGTTTTATCTTCTACTGTTTCACCCTCAGCAGTCTCTCCATCTTCTGCAGTTTCATTACCAGCAATGTCATGCTCTTCAGCGGCTAGTGCTTTAGCATTCTGCCTGTTCTCTACAGTATCTTCACCAGTGGTCTCACCCTCTTCATAAGCTGTTTCGTCCAGCTCCTCTGATTCTTCCTCAACGTATTCTTCAGGTGCTTCCTCCTTTGCTGTTTCAGCCTGCATTATATCATCAAATTCACTAATGTCATCATTTGCCACATCTTCATCTAATTCATCATTGATCTTAGAACTGCTTTCACTTTCTTTGACAGACATTTCATTAGAATCAGTCTCATCATTTTGCTCTTGCTCTTCATCTTGTTCTGCTCCCTTATGTTGTGCTGTAATCGTGTTATTAGACATCTCAGCAATTTCCCCGATTTTTGCTTGTTTCACAGAACTGTCCTCTTCATAAGTGCTGGAGGCATTGTCCTCCTCTCCACCCTCCTCACTTTCTTGTTTTTCATAATCTTCCTTAAATTCTTGGTCACTGGGAGCAAACATTTCTTTATTCACCCCTTCTTTCTCATCCTCCTCTTTGACAGCCTGAAGCACCACATGTTCTCTCTCCTTCTTACTGACTGTAGATTCACTGGGAATCCCCCCGATGTTTTCATTGGTAGGAGACGATTTCTTTGTCTGGAGAATTCTTCTCAAATCAAAGTCCATCATCACAGGGGCAGAGTTCATCATTTCCACAGGTAACACTTGTTTGGAAGCCATTTTCTTTTTCAAGCATGTGTCACAAGGACAATATTCATCATCGCTACGTTGATCACTGAAATCAGTCCCTGTCATAGTGTTATCATCATCACTTTTAGGTTGCGGATCAATTGATTGGTTGCGCATTACCTTCAGGCGCCTCCGCTTTTGCTCCGTTTGAACGGTAGATTCACGTGACATTGTCTCTTTCGGTGGTCTTGGTCTTCCAGCTCTGCCTTGGATTTTTCTTAGTTCCCTGTCAATACTCGTTTGTATCCGTCTGCGGACTTCATCTTGCAATTCTCTTATCATGACGTCAAGCTGCTCATTGTCATCCAGATTCCAACGGACTTTAAACTCAGCCATTGCAGCAACATAATTTGTCATAAATTGTTTTTCTAATTTGTTCAATAAATTCAGAACCCATACAGGATCAGGGTCTTGAGAAAGCCTTTTTGAAAAATTACCTCTTTGTAGTGTTGGAGCACTGCTTGAACTTGTGTCCTCTTGACGGTCTGATTCAGTTTCATTGTTATTATTTCCAGAACTCTTGTTTGATGAAATGGGTGTTTCAATCAGTTCCCTTGGACTATCGTTATTTCTGATAGTCTCGTCAGAGCCTCGGACATCTTTTAGCTTCTCTTCAACTGTGTCCTTAGTCTCTGGGGTCCTCTGAGCTTGACTGGCTGAATCATCATTTGAGACTGGTGTTTCTGAAGCTTCCTCTTCCACAGTTTCATCAACTTCCTCTACCTTTGTCAGGTTATCCAGGCCTTCACATTCTGTATTGATTTGGGCTTGGGTGCCGTCATTGACACTACTTTTCCCAGAACCTGTTGAGCCACTGTTAACATCTACCCCTGATGATGACCTGGCTTTGAATTCCTTGTCCAGATGGTTGTTTCTTTCCTTAGATGTCTTCTCACTGTCTGTGGGGTCACAAAGCCAAAGGGACTTAAGTATGCTCATGAGCTCCTGGTATTTTTCTTTTTTGCCATCTTCATCGCTAGAACCAAAGTCTAACAACTGCAGATTTGCCAAACAATCCAGAAGGCCTTGCGCTGATGTACTGAGCTTACGTCCATATACATGGGACACCTCTGGTAAGCTATTGCATCTGTTTAGTTTGGAGCTCAGCAAGACTTTCATCACCAGAACTGAGGAATTAAACATTTTCGGCTCTTCTCCCCTCTGAGAGTGATCACCCTCAGCAACTTTTTTGTCAATAACTCCCTCTGCATTCATCACATTAGCATCTTCCCTCTCAGGTTGTGTTTCAAGCTTGGTTAAGCCATGTCGCAAAGTTTCATGTTTATTTTCATCTTCTGAAGGCACATGCGATGTGCAGAGGGGTTCTATTGAATCAAAGTTTTCGTGAAATTCATCGCCTAAATCACACAAGGTAGTGTCTGATGGGATTTTCCTCAGCCATTCATTTACCACCTCAGTTGGGGAGGCATTTGGCAGGCAAGAAGGACTCAGCTCAGACATGTCTTCATCCATCTTGTGGCCAGACGAGTCACTCCCAATCCTTTTCCTACATTTGCTACTTTTTTCACTCTTAATGTCACTGACATTTCTATCAGATTTACAAGATTGTTCTGCTGCTATATTCAAACAGTCAGTGTGTTCTTCTCTTGGGTCTAGAGCAGGAACGGTCTGTGATAACACGCTGTCATTGGAGCCGGAAAGTAAAATAACCGTTTTTTTGGATTTTCTGGGAGATTTTGGTGGGATAGGACTGAGATGGTTCCCTGAGGTAACAGATGAAGTAGATGAATGACCCCTGGGTGTATTGTCCTCAAATTTCTGTATCGACCTGGTGCTTAATTTGTTGTTACTTCCATTGACAGTTACTGAAGTTTTAACATCATTCTTTTGACCATTTACTTTTAAATGAGATGATGAACTGGATATATTACTCTTTGGTCTGTCAATTACTTCAGCAGCATTTCCTTCTTTAGCTGAGGCACTTGAAATTGGTCTTTTCTGTTGTGTAGAACTGCATTTTGAACAGACACTTTGAGACTTATGGGTAACATCTGGACTTCCAGTTTTCTCTTGACCCGTGACTTCAGAATGTACAGACATACCGGAAGCTTTGCTAGATGGACGGATCTCTTCGGTTGGGGTGCTTTGCCTCTCAGAACCATTGGCAGATGAAGTGTCTAAATTCTTTGTTTTGGAGGATTTATTGCTTGCTACATCATCTTTGTCCTGGTTTGGGTCTCTGGGAAATGTAGAACTGCAATGAGAGCAATTGGACTTCGATTTACTAGAGACATTTGACTTAGCCGATGCTAAACTTTTAGGTCTTTCCTCTGGCGTCCGTGTTGTTTCAGTTGTTATTGGTACTGTAGATTCTGTTAAACACTGGTCAGATCTACCACATATTTCAGTCTTTGATGAACCAGATGTTCTTGAGTTCATTGAAACAGCACCTTCATCTATTTCCTCAACATCATCTACCTCATAGTCTTCAACTATCCCAATAGACACTGAGGTGCTTGTTGGTGTTAAAAGTCGTTCAGAGTCTGAACTAACTGATCTGTTTGTTTTTTTATCCACACCTGCTTTAGACACTTTAGATTCTGCAGATGTATTAGACACCACACTTGTTGATCTTCCGTCAGGCTCTTCAGCTTCTGAGAGGAGGGACTTTGCAGAAGCATTTGATTTGGTAGGCACAACACTTGATTTAACAATGGCATCAGATGTTGTAGATGGGGTTGACTTTACAGACAAAGAGCTTGTTCTTTCCACCAGTTCATTTGCTTCGTCGTCCTCCTCCACAGTTCTTTCTGAATGTTTTGATTTCTCAGATGCACAAGATTTTGCAGACATTGCACTTGATGATCGAACATCTCCTGTATCTGTGTTTTCAGTTTCTTTAGGAACAACTCCTGAAATATTTGACCTCTGAGATCTTGTAGATGTTTTAGATGTAACTGATGCTGTACTTTGTGCTCTCTGCTGTACATTTCCAGTTAGCTTGGAATCTTCTGACTTGTTTGATCTTGCAGAAATATTAGAAATAGAGGACAAAGCACTTTCTGTTCTTGCTTCCTTTAGTTTATCTTCATTGACAGGGTCTTCTGGACCAGATCTTCCAGAGACAACAGATTTCAATGACCTCGAACTTGGTGCCCTCTTCACATTTTGTTCATTTGGTTCAACTATGATTATTTCTGAAACTCTCGATGCTCTGGATCTTACAGACGAATTTGATTTTGCAGACACTGCACTTGGAGCCCTTTCTTGGATTTCTTCCTCATTTGAGATCTCATTTTCATCAAGTGTGGCTTCAGACAGTAGTGATATGCCACTTGGAGGTCTATCTAGGTTCTGAACTTCTTCTAGATGATTTGACTTATTGGATCTTTCACTTGGTGATTTTACTTCACTTTCTTCATCATCAGGCTCTTCTGAACGTACTTCCGAAACTTTCGATGCTTTGGATTTTGCAGAGATACTGGTTTTGGTAGAAATATCAGATTTTTCTGACATAGCACTTGGCAGTCTGTCCCATTTTTCCTTAGTATTAGTGTTGACATCTGTTCCAGACATATTAGACTTTTTTGATTTTGCAGAAAGGTTCGACTTTACAGACAAAGCACTTGAAGCTCTCTCTTCTTGGTATTTTTCATCAGGCTCTTCTGCCTCTACTTCCGAAACTTTCGATGCTTTGGATTTTGCAGAGATACTAGTTTTGGTAGAAATATCAGATTTTTCTGACATAGCACTTGGCACTCTGTCCCCTTTTTCCTTATTATCAGTGTTGACATCTGTTCCAGACACATTTGACTTTTTTGATTTTGCAGAAACGTTTGACTTTGCAGACAAAGCACTTGAAGCTCTCTCTTCTACTTGGTCTTTTTCATCAGGCTCTTCTGCCTCTACTTCCAAAACTTTCGATGCTTTGGATTTTGCAGAGATACTGGTTTTGGTAGAAATATCAGATTTTTCTGACATAGCACTTGGCACTCTGTCCCCTTTTTCCTTATTATCAGTGTTGACATCTGTTTCAGACACATTTGACTTTTTTGATTTTGCAGAAACATTTGACTTTGCAGACAAAGCACTTGAAGCTCTCTCTTCTTGGTATTTTTCATCAGGCTCTTCTGTTTGTAATTCTGAAACTTTTGATGCTTTGGATTTTGCAGAGATACTGGTTTTGGTAGAAATGTCAGATTTTTCTGACATAGCACTTGGCACTCTGTCCCCCTTTTCCTTATTATGAGTGTTGACATCTGTTCCAGACACATTTGACTTTTTTGTTTTTGCAGAGACATTTGACTTTGCAGACAAAGCACTTGAAGCTCTCTCTTCTTTTTCTTCTTCTTCTTCTTCTGCTGCATCAACAACCTCATCAGTTAAAACATCTGAAATTCTGGACTTATTGGATCTTGTTGAAACGCTTGATCTTGCTGACAATGCACTCTGAGATCGTTCCTCTGTTTGGTGCTCTGCTTCTCCAGGCAAAGCAAATGGTACTTTTAAATTTTTCGACTTTTTCAGTCTTTCAGAAGCATTGGATTTTGATGACATAGCACTCAGAGCCCGTTCCTCTGCAATTTCAACTCCATCACTTACAGTGACTCCTGACTGATTGGATTGTGCCGAGTATGCACCCTCTCGTTCTTCCGTTTGGTCTTTTTCTGAGACCATTGATTTAACAGATTTTGCAGATATGTTAGATTTAGAGGACAGCACACTTGCAGATCTCAAATCATCTCTATCAGCCATAATATCTGCTACCATACCAGATCCTTTGGATTTCTTAGATTCAGATTTGACAGACAAAGCGCTGGAGACTCTGTTTTCTGTCTCCTCCTCCTCCATCTTGGACTTTTTTGATTTCAATGAAGCGTTTGATTTGATTGACAAAACACTAGGAACTCGTTCCTTCATTTCTTCTCCTGATCCTGGTATTGGGGTTTTCTTGGATTTCCTTGAGCTTGCAGATATAGTAGAACTTACAGAAATAGTGCTTGATGCTCTTTCCTGAACATCCTCATTTTCCTGTGCTTCATCCTGGTCTGCCTCTGAAATTTTGGAGGTTCTGGATCTTTTAGAGATATTTGATATTGATGACAAAGAGCTTGGTGATCTCTCTCCTGGTAACTCCACTTGAGTTGCTGATTCAGCTTCAGGTGTGTTTAATTGCACTGAAGCATCCACTGAATTTAAACATTCCCCTCCTTCTTGAAGATAAGCTGCTTCTGAAATGTCAGACTTTTGTGAGACAGTTGATTTAATAGAAACGCTGCTGGGAGCTCTGTCTTGCTCAGCCTCAAGCTCGCTCAGCTCAATTGACATTCTAGATCTCGCAGAAATATTTGAATGTGTCGATATGGAACTGTGAACTCTCTCTTCTATTTGATCTTCAATTCCAGACTTGTTTGATGTACCAGATTTAACACTTGACGCTTTCTCTGCTATTCTCTCCTCACATGCACCATCAGGTGCAGACTGTGTCTCTTTAGACTGAATAGATTTAACACAAATACTTGATTCAGATGAGACAGCACTTACAGGCCTCTCCTCAACATTGTCCTGTAAATAAGCAAGCTCATCAAAACAACTTTCTGACAGTTTGGATCTCACAGATGTATTTGATTTAACAGACATGGCACTCGATGTTCTTACCTCAGAATTGTGTTCCGTAGACACATTGTCTGAGACTTCACTATTTCTTGATTTGTCAGATCTGTGCGACTTTATTGACATGGCACTGTGTGCTCTTCCATCCTGCACTTGTACTTTTGAAAGATTTGTTGTATTCGATTTTCCAGAGGTATTGGATTTTATGGAGATAGCACTCGAGCATCGCTCCTCTATTATTTCATCATTTACTTCAGTACTCTCTTGATCATTTTCATAAGGGGTTGATAATTCAGACAGAGACTTTGTAGACATTTTCGATTTGGCTGACATTGCACTTAGTGCTCTTTCTTCTGTTTCTGTATCTTGAACATCCATGTCTTCTAGTTGACCATTTGATTCAAAAGACCCTGGAGTCGTTATGTCTTTTGAGACTACACATTCACACGTTTTTGAGCCAGACAAAGATTTGGGAGAAGCGGATGCTTCAGACCTGGCCGCTTTATCACCTACTTCTGGACTGGCAAACCTTCTGGACGTTTTAGACTGCCCTGAAGATAAAGCTTTGCTTGGTGGTCTTGGTGATTTACTGGGTGTAACAGAACATGGGCTTGGTTCAACATCTTTGCTCTCCTCATCTTCCTGTTGGCCACGGGATGCTCTCGAGATACTCGGAGGGAGACTGACTTCTTCATCATCTTGGTCCTCCTTCAGTGATGCTAAAATTTGGGAAGAAGTGCTCACAACGGATATAGGCCGCTCATCTTCCTCTACTGGCAGAGTGATCTGAACACTAAATTGATCTTTAGGAAGGTTAGAGGATATGACATCTGGCCTGTTCTCGTCATTATCAGATGCTTGAATGTTCTCACGCTTGTCTTCTATACCGCTTGTGCTCTTTGTTTTAGGGGACACTGAGCGCACCTCACTTCGACTGCAGCAATGGTTGATGGTACATTCTTCAATCATGGTGTCGCCCTGCTGCCCAATGGTCTGTTGAATGCAAGTTGCCTTTTCCACTAAATGCTCTGTGTACTCTTCACTGGACATTGTGCGCATGCTGTCAGTAGATGCCTTCTTGCACACTATTCTCCGCGAGGATGCACTTGAGCTTGAGGATCTGATGCGTCTTACAGATCTTTGACTGGGAGGTACAGGATTTTTCCACATGCCATACTCTTGACAGTGAGCACAGCAGTGCTGGCAATGTGGCTCTTCAAAATGTCTTTGGTAACATTTGGTGCTGGATGTCTCCTCTTCTTCACCAACAGAGATAGAGTCGGCTTCTGAGCAGCTCTCTGCACTGCAATGTGAGAAAGGATAAGCATCATCATGGGATTCATTAAAAGAGCTCTTTGACTTCTTGACTTCTGTGGACCAGTGCAATGTCTCGTTGTGTAACAGTCGAAAGCGCACTTTCATCTCCATTGACAGGCTTCCATCTTGGTTGACCAGAACTCGCTTTTCAATGTCATCATCCATCATATTTTCTCCTGTATGAGGACAATCGCCTCTGTGCCCTGGAGGTAACGAGTTGGTAGGTAAGTTGGTAAGTCGATTTGGAAACATCTTTTCAGAAGAGGTGGATGGTCCTCCTGATCTTTTGCTTGAATCACACTTTGGATGGATGACACTTCTATTTGTTTCTAGTCCAAAGTTGACTTCAAGAAAGTAAGCACAAATTACAATAAATATTTACTGTGAAGTTATAGAAAAATATGATAAAGAAAATGACTTTGCAGTGTTACCTACCATTTCTCTTGGCCCCCTTTTCATCACTGCAGACACTAGAGCGTGGCTTTATGTTCAGCCTCGGAAGTTTGTCGTAAGAGTTCTTCCTGAAGCTGTCCAACAGGAGTGGGTGGAAAGGCTCACGTCCCACACAAACCAAAACGCTCGGGCACTGCAGCAGACTTTGCACACTGTCAATCTGAAAAACATGCAAATCCCTCTCAACATTAGATAACTGTCTTGCTGGTTGATTACAACATGACACAATCAAATTGATTGAGATCAGCAATATCTGGCTTAAATTAAACAGCAGGGATTATTACAACTGCCAAATTCTGATGAGGAAATGTGCTATGATGGATTGAAGCCATACCAATTAAAGGTTAATGGCCATGGGAAGTCAAACCATCTGGTGTATACATTTTCCCACACTAATTTTTAATCATGAAAACAGTGATCTGAAAATGTGTGTGTGATCCATTACGCAGGGTGTTTTCGGTGCAAGTGTACAAACAAGGTGATAGGTCAATAAAAAACATCATCACTAATTAAAAAACTAGTGTGACTACATTAATGTTTCTTTAAAAAAACAAACAAAAAAAACAATGAACAATCAGCATATATCATTGTTAATCTGAGAGCTTCATTCATTTGAGCTGTGTTAACTTATGTTACTGTGTATAAATAAATAAACTGTCTAAATAAACTGTGTAAATATTGGGGATGGAAAGAAATAATCATTTTTGTTGAAACAGTTTAAGGTTTTTAACTTTTTTTTTTTTTTTTGACAAAGGAAAAGAGCCCAGAAACATGAGTACTATGGTGCTTCAGTCTTGTCCAAATAACCTTTTGACTGTAGTCATCCAACAACATCTGAGGTTGAACCAGGTTCCAAACTCATGAAATCAGAATATACTGTGTATAAATAGAGAAAGAGTAAAATACACACATCAACATCACATGCCACTCTTTAACACAATACTAACTTTATGCTAAATCTGCATGCTTTGCAGTTTTAGATCTTCAAAACTTTTACATTTTGCAGCGGATTTGAAGATAATTAATTGGAACTGTAGAGGATGCGAGTATCTCAAACTGTATGTTTTCATGGCATTGACCTGCTTCTGTTGGTTCAAAATAGCTCTGATTTGAGCAAGATTAATAGTTATTCTCTGGATGCTGGTGCATCACTGCTGTGCAAAAATACAAGTAAAGGAATATCCTGATCATATCTAACAAGAATAGCAGGAAAGGTTTATTCAAATATTTTTAAAAAGAATGAACGAAACAGGAGAAATCTTCAAGGCAATCAAGAGAATGACATGCATAAATAAGTAACAATGAAATTCTGTTATACTAATTAAGAGTATAAACAGTCTGTTTGGAGAATCCAAATGTTTATATCCAGTTCAAGAAAGATAGCCATCTGTTATCATCAATTTGATGCACACTTTAGTGATCCTGGCCATATTTGTGCAAAATTACTGTTTTTGTAAGAATATTAGCCTACTGCTTGTTTGAAAAAAAACAACGCATTTTCATCCTAGGGTGTCATATAAGTGACGCTTTTGACATTGCGTCTAAATCCGACGCACATGGCACCATTTAGCGTCAATATAACACGCTTTGGTTATGGGTAGGTTTAGGTCTGGGGTAGTGTTAGGGTTACTAGGAGGCGCATTCTGGCCCATATATATTTGCGTCTCATATTGACGCTAAAGGGTGCCATTGTGTGTTGAATGTAGACGCAGTGTCAAAAGTGTCACCCATTATGACACACTGGGGATGAGACTGGGCTGAAAAAAAGTAGTGTTGAGTGTTTTTTATTATTATTATAATTATTATTATTATTACTAGTGATGGTTGCCCTTTCATTTCTTTTTTTTATTACTGTAAACAGTCGGACATACATACAAACCAACATAGTGCAGTGGTGAGCAATCTTGTAATTCCATAATTCCAGAAGTGACATAACAGTGATTTAAGTTTGATCTAAGTGTGTATGTGAGTGAGTATAGCTATGTGTATGTGTGTGTATGTGTAAACAAAGTTACCGTTTATTATTTATTACCATTGTCATTACCATCACCACCCCCACTCCCCACTACCACCATATTGCCAATATTGTATTAGTTGATTTTTATCCTTAAATTAGATGAAGAAATTAAATACAATTATTAAAAAAATGTTGTGATCATTTTTTTTTTTTTTTTTTTTTTGCAGCCTGGAGCCCAAACAATATACTATAGGCTGCTGTGCTGATGTTTTGTCATTTGCCTTACCCATCAACTTAAGCTCAACTTTTCACAGACAGGGCTTAGACTAAGCCAGAATTAGGCCTTAGTTCAATTAGGACATTTAAGTAGCTTTTATAAACGTGCCTTACAATAAAAACATTACCGGTGTGACAAAACGATGGCACTGACATGTTTTAAGATATATGTCTGGGAATAGGTTTTAGCCTTGTCTGTGAAACCAGGAGTAAATCTTCAAAGATACACAGGGGACCTGATGGATTCTGTTCTCGTTCTCTTACATGTTCAACTTTCAGCCAGTGACAAATAAAGCTTTACTCTACTGCTTGTCGAGCTATTTCTGGCATTGTCTAGCTGCCATTCGTAATGTTATCCATGTATCAGTCAGGCCCCTGTGGAGGGGTGTGTGCCACTTTACAGCATGTTTTCTATGGGAAGTACATGCCTGTGGCAGCGCTAATAGGATGTGCCTGCTCTACCATAGAGGACCAGCAGCGCTGACCAGAGTCAGCAATGAGTCCAGCTCTGATGGGCAGGAAATGCCTGGATCGACTCCAGACATTCTGTGGACTTCAAGCCAAGAAGTGTTCCCCGTTTCCCCTTAAGGAACAGCACTTTCTCTGCGTACAGCGTGATGCCACCATTAGCACTGTGGCATACCGTGCCGTACCCTTGCGTGCGAACACATAGAAACAGGTCTTGATTTGATGGGACAGCCTCTGATTGCCCTCGGGGCTGTATAAACCCCTAGCCCCTCACCTTTTATCAGGGTTGCCATAGCTCAGTCCCAGAGGGGCTATTTCTTACACTGCCTGGGCCACCCTGTCCACCTCTTATCTACCCAAACCACCTGCAGACTGTAATTCTTTATTTTTTCCCTTTCCGTGGTCTGTGGCATTTGCCCTTCAGCGCAAGTGGGAGTGATAGTGACTAAAATGAACTTTACGCTGACTGATCTGCTCAAGTAATCTTGTTCTCAGCATTATGAGCATTTCATAAATCAAACAACCCAATCTTTGGAGACTGTCACTTTTTTTGGTAGACTTGAATAACTAATGCACAACAATCTAATTTAAAAAGCTCAAAATCAGAGGTCCCACAGCTTGGGGACTTTCCAGTTGTCAGATGTGGCATCATTTACATAATACTTAGCTTCCTGTAAACATGTGTTTTAGCTCAAATGGGAGCTATGGTTTCAAACAAAGGAATAAAAGATCGCTAAAACATTTGCTAACTTATCTGCTCCCGAACCTGTTTATCAGATCTTGATAAAAAAAAAAAAAAAAAATCCAGTTTCAACCACTAGAGGCCTCTGTGTCCTTAGCACATGTGCTTCTCCTCCCAACTAACAGCTGATCTTACATAATTTAGGTCAGTTTACAAAAAAAAAAATAGCTAGGATGAGTACTTTACTACTAAGGTTAACCCAAGTTAAAATTAAATATTTTATTAATGTTTTGGAGGAACATATTCAAATGATATATCCAATCAGCACGAGATGAGGCCTATGTATATATATATACATATTTATATATATATATATATATATATATGAAGAGTTCAGATGCAAAAGCCTCTAAATGCCATTTGAAATTTTCTTCTTTAATGATGATTTTTATCAAACTTGTATATTTATGTTCAGTAATTTCACTTAAATAACAATTAATAGGTAATTATCATTGCCATTTAAGTGAAATCACTGAACTTAAATATACAAGTTTGATAAAAATCATCATTAAAGAAGAAAATATCAAATGGCATTTAGAGGCTTTTGCATCTGAACTCTTCATATATATATATACATTGCCACATCACCTATGTTCCTCTACAGTTTTCTGCATCCCTCTGCCACACCAACTCCTCACTCTCAGCCGGTTACTGTCCCAGCTGGTGATATGGGGTGAGTACTTTGGGTTCGGGCCAAATTCAAAGCACAGAGAGCCCTCCCCTCAGACAGCACACCAAATACGCATACTCTATTATTCTATCTGATTATTTGTATGTGTGAATGCATGAAATGTCTTGAAAATATAAAAGCAAATGATCTGCAGGATGAGCAACCACATTGAACTGATCAAAACAGTGAATTCCAGGGATGTGTGCCACTCAGAACTGAACTCAAAATGAAGTGATATTGAACTGAGCTAACAATCAAGATGCAGATTTAGTAATATGTGAAGAGTTCAGATGCAAAAGCCTCTAAATGCCATTTGAAATTTTCTTCTAGAAAGATCATTTTTATCAAGCTTGTATATTCAAGTTCAGTGATTTCACTTAAATGGCAATGAGGATTACCTATTAATTGTTATTTAAGTGAAATTACTGAACTTAAATATACAAGTTTGATAAAAATCATCATTAAAGAAGAAAATTTCAAATGGCATTTAGAGGCTTTTGCATCTGAACTCTTCATGTATACATTTTAACCACTAAAGAAAAGAAAAACGATTGACGAAGTCTGGAAGGTTTAAAGGGTTATTTCACCCAAAAATTCTGTCAGTAATTACTCATGTTGTTCCAACCCCGTTAGAATTTTGTTCATTACTTTCAATATTTTTGAAAAAATCTGAGAGCTGGATCACTCCTCCATAGGCTTCTTAAGGGATCTAAACTGGCCGGCCCAAAAGTTATGAAAGACATTGTTAAAATAGTACGAGTGACTACAGTGGCTCAATCTTAAGTTCATCAAATGAAGATAATACTTTTTGTGCGCAAAAAACAAACAAAAAAAATAAACAAAAATAACAACTTTATTGAACTATTAATTTCCTTCCCCGTGGCCGGTGAGATTTCACGTACGCAAAGCTTTTAGGTTGTACGTCACATGCTTCACACACATGACCAACGTTGGCCAATAGTGAGCCTACGTGTGACATGCAACTTAAAGCTTTGCGTAGTAGTTTCACTACGTGAAATGTCGAGGCCCGCAGAGAAGGAAATGAATAGTTAAATAAAGTTTTTTGTTTGTTTGTTTGTTTTTTTGCTCACAAAAGTATTCTCGTCGCTTGATAAACTTTTAAAGATTAGGGACTGTATTAGGCACTTGATAAATATTGAGGCACTGTAGTCACTTGGATGTCTTTCATAACTTTTGGGCCAGCCAGTTTCAATCCCTTAAGAAGCCTACTGTATATGGAGGAGTGATCCAGCTCTCAGATTTAATCAAAAATATCTTAATTTGTGTTCTGAAGATGAACGAAAGTCTTACGGGGTTGAAACAACATGAGGGTGAGTAATTAATGACAGAATTTTCATTTTTGGGTGAACTAGCCTAACCCTTTAAAGAAGTTTGCTGTTTTTGAGACTGTTGAAACTGTTGAAAAGTCTTGAATTTTTAAGGTTTTATACAGTAGGTCTTACAGGCAGACATTTAAGTTTATTTAATATTATCATATTTGTTTCCCGCAAATCTACAGTACAGCAGTACAAAATACTATAAAAAGTTGCTGATGTAGTGACTATATCACCTCACACCCCTTGGATGTTGAGTATAATTCCTTCATAAGTGATTTTGTAAATAACTAATTTATAAGTTATATACTTTTTGTTTAAACTTGCGATCTAAATTTTTGGATGATTACTTAAACATCAGTACATACACTACCGTTCAAAAGTTTGGGGTCGGTACGATTTTAATGAAGTCTTTTATGCTCACCAAGGCTGCATTTATTTGATCAAAATAGTAATATTGTGAAATGTTATTACAATTTAAAATCACTATCTTCTATTTTAATATATTCTAAAACATCATTTATTCCTGTGATGACAAAGCTGAATTTTCAGCATCATTAATCTAGTGTTCAGTGTCACGTGATCCTTCAGAAATCAATCAAATATGCCGATTTGCAGCTCAAGAAACATTTCTACGTCTAATCAATGCTGGAAACGGTTGTGCTCCCTAATATTTTTGTAGAAACGGTGGTACATATTTCCAGAAGAGACTCACCTTGTGGCCTTGCAGTGTGTAGAGCTTCCTGATGAGACACTGCATGAGTTCAGAAACCTCATCCATGAAGAGCGAGAGACTGCACAGGCTCTTGCGGTGCAGCACGATGGTCCTCCGGACAGAGGGATCGCTGTTTTTCACAAGCACAATCTTCCTGGAGTGTCTGTGATGATGATGGTGGTGGTGATCTTCACTCTGTTCAGGAGCTTCCTCAGGTCTAAAGGGCCTTCTGTTTGTATACTGCTGAGCGTGTGGATGTGTCTGCAAATGATACCACGGGTTCGAGTAAGCTCCAGAGGCCATCGTCTTGGCCTGCTGGTGATCGACACACAGATAACATGCACGATCCTCCAGCGGTTCCAGTCTAGTTGAGCCCGAGGAGTCTCTGAAGGATCTTGCGGAGCAGTGCCCATGGGGGAAAGAGGGCTTTAGAGGTGGGTCGTCTGTGATGGTGTCAAAGCATTGAAAGCTTTGCTTGTGGGAGGCCATTTTAACTTCATCCAATGGCCTGTGGCAGATGTCAGTACACTGTAGTTTGAATCAGAGGATAAAGGGACCACAGGAGAACATAGCAGGGCTATATTCTCTGGCCCAGCTGATCACACTCACTCATCCTCTCCTTCCACTCTGCAGAAGACAAAAACACAAAACACATGCACAGGTTAACATCACCAACAGAGCTTTTCCAAATTACACTGTCAAGCACACTAGGACAACATTTGATAATGATAATGATTTAGAATGCTTATATGCGCTTGTATAACGGACATAAATGAAATTCGAATTGTTTAGGCCTATAAAACAAGTATGCAGATATGAAATATACCATATACAAGAATGTGGGCAGTGGAATTCAAACAGGTTTAATATTTAAATAAAAAGTTTTAAAAAGGCTATGATGTATTGTAAAATGAATAACAGAAATATGTAAGATTCTGCACTATTTCTAGGTGATTTTAATAATAACTTTCCTTACTTGTCAAAAGTCAGATGTTCTTGCTTCCATTAAAGATGCTGTTTGGACAACATGATTATCATGTTTGACACATTTATTCATTTAGCTGACGCATTTATCCAAAGCGACTTACAATTGCTATATATGTCAGAGGTCGCACGCCTCTGGAGCAGCTAGGGGTTAAGTGTCGTGCTCAGGGACACATTGGTGTCTCACAGTGGATTTGAACCCGGGTCTCTCACACCAAAGGCATGTGTCTTATCCACTGTGCCATCACCACCCCCTACACACAAACTTGTGTTAATGCAGTAGTGTAACTGTCATTAAAGATAATGCTTCATAGAAGCCAGCCATGATAACCCTATTCAGCTATCTCTCACATTATAGGCTAATAATATAATTAATGGAAAAAAAAGTGCAAAAATATATAAATAATAATATGTAATAATAAAAAATATATAATAATATATAAACAAAACAGGATTGTGCTGTACTGTCTGCATGCACTTGAATGCTTACATCGCATACTGTAAGAAACATAAGAGCATTGATAATAAAATGAAGAATTTATTGCAATTGCAAATTTTATTTGTGTAAAGACAATCCTGAGAAACCTGGGTGTAAATAACCAGCTTAATCAAGGGGATAAACTCACAAGCTGAAAATACTCAAAACATTTAACTCTGTCCTGTTCTTAACGGGATTTAAAATTATTTGCTGAGTGATCCACTGAAAGATTTACATTGTCATTAACTTGAATTAGCTGAACTTTAACCTATCTTTCACCAAACTTTTATAGCATAATCGAATTAAAGTCTTTTCTCAGTCACTTTCTTGCAGAATCAAGCTTCTTTACAGAAAGCACGGTACCTTCTGGACCTCAGTCTTTTTGCCCATTGCAACTATGAAACAAAGTATTTTTGGTGTGTATGTTGAACCAAAACTGAAAACATCCAGATTTAACATGTGACCAAACAGGTACATCTGCAGGAATCCCACTGGCACATGATGACAGCCTGGCACACTCCACAGCTGAGGGAGCATTTCTGAGCTCAAGACACAGAAATGATGGACAGATATCAGAGACTAAGCAGGGATAAAAAGAGCAGACTTCGCCTGAATTAGACTAAAGAGCTTATCTACAAGTGCAGGGAAAAAGTGGAAGCAACATGTGACAGGATGAAGCTGCAGTAGAAGCCCATTGTTATTTTTGATTCAAGCACAAATGGGAAAATTAAGTAATACCAAAGTCATGTGATTTAAGAAAGCAAAAATTTCAAGCAAGAACTTTGCATGCTGATTTGTTCAAAGAAAAGGTTGAACCCTAAATCAGTAAAATCACAAACCTTTTAACATACAGTTCAACAATTGTCAGATCAGTGAATGTACCTCCTTATATTCTAATTCACATTTTTTTCTGTGGAAATTATTATTATTATTCTTTTAAAGGACCATGGTCTCTTGCAAAAAAAAGAGGACCATGAATCCTCAACTCATGTTATCAGAACAAAAACAGGGAAATGATCCAGCCTTTGCAAAGCAGGACAAAACCAGACTCTTCAAGTCTTGCAGAAGCACATAATAATTCATAATATACATTACCGTTCAAAAGTTTGGGGTCAATTTTTTTTGAAAGAAATCATTTAATTCAGCAAAGATGCATTAAATTGATCAAAAGTGACAGACAGTATTTCTAATGTCACGAAAGATTTCTATTTCAAATAAATGCTGCACAACTGTTTTCAAAAATGATAATATGAATTGTTTCTTGAGCAGAAAATCATCATATGAGAATGATATGAAGGATCATGTGACCATGAAGACTGGAATAATGATGCTGAAAATTCAGCTTTGCCATTGCAGGGACAAATTACATTTTAATATATGTATTATTGAAATAGAAAGCAGTTATTTTAAATTTTAATAATATTTCACACTAATGTGTTTTGGTTGAATAAACAGCCCATTCTCACTCCCAAGGCGTCACTTAACTGACGCCTTGGGAAGCATTTGGACATGCTTCAATATCTGACGCTTTAGGCGCCCTTTAGCGTCAGTTAGATGACGCCCTAGGATCGCGTGTACCCTACCCCCACCCCACACCTAAACCTAACCGCGTCCTCTAACAGACGCTTTCCTTTAGCGTCAGTTTGATGACGCCGTAGGATCGCGTCATGTAAGTGACGCTAAAGGGCGCCTAAAACGTCAAATATTGAAGCATGGTCAAAGGTGACGCCTTGGGGTGAGAATGCGTTGGAATAAATGCAGCATTGGTAAGCATAACAATTTACAAAATAGTGACCCCAAACTTTTGAACGTAAAGATCAAATCTACTCAATTAGTCTAAAAACTAGGACACAATGGGGGAAAAAATTGCACATTATATAGTAGAAAATGGCCTATGATCACAATGTCCAGTCACAATAGCATGCATAAATAAATAAATAAATAAAAATAACTTTAATCTGATTTCACCTCAAGGCAAAATGACTCAAACTATGGAACCAGGAAAACTGAATCTGTATCTTTAAAAAAAAACCAAAATATTTTCTAATAAATGTCTAGGAGGCCTGTTACAATATCTGCTTTTGATGAGAAATTTGAAGAAAAGAGAATGCAAACAAATAATATAAATCATATGATAGCAATTATGTTACCCAAAACTAATAAATTCCTGTGATGCAGATGTTGTAAGCTCAAAACACCATATGAAAAAGATGTCAAACAAACCTGAGTTAAGTACATTTTAAGCATTATCACACACACAGATCTTTGTAAATGCAGGACTACAATCCTATAATGCATCCCAGAAAACTCCACCGGTGTTTATTCTACAGCGGTTTTGCATGCACCTGATTTGATATTCATGAATTCACTTAATTCTGAAAAAAAACACAGACTTTAGCACAAAAATGTAGAGATTCTTAAATGTCCCCTTAATTATTTTTTAAAACCAATGAGGTTTAGCCAAGGTCAAGGTAAAGAGTGTGAAAACACCTGACAGTCTTAATTACATTTTCAATGAACTGTGATCCAAATGAACCGGGAAAGTCTTCAATGTAAACACAAACTGTCCCTTAAAAAAAAGCACTGCAAAATACTCACCATCAAAACAACCATGATCACATTGTTGAGAAACAAAGAGCTCAGCAAATCATCCTCTGAGTTTCCACATCGAGCTGAGATGGAGCAGGAGCTGCTGTGAACTGCCAGCTGAGAAGCGCTTGCATGTCCCACCGGGGGCCTTTCTGCTAATCGGTCCTTGGGCAGCTAAGGATAGAACGGAAAGCCTTCTTAATCACCCTGAGACTGCATCCAAATCGGCTGAGGCTTTGGACACATGACTAGAACTTGGACATTGCATAAAAGAGCAGACAAACTTAGGACATTGTCAGTCAAATACTTTTAAGGGGGAACTGACAGTTCATGTAGCAAATGGGTACATATTTGCAGGATCCCCAGAACACATAAATAAAGCTTACGCCTCAGTGTGTCATAGACGGAAGTTCTGTCGAAGGTAGGAGATATATGACACAGTTCACATGGGGACATGACCATGAACAATTAATAGCTTATATTAATCGCTATCGATAAATTAAAAAGTCAATAACACTATACATAGTGTTACATATATATACACATATATATACAGTATATATATATATATATATAATTCAAAAATTACAATTTAAAATAACTGTTTCCTATATATTATATTTTTAAACTAATTTATTCCTGCACTGTAAAAAAATATTTTCAAGATTTGTTATCACAACATATTTTCTTTTGTCAAATCAACTTTATAATAATTCATTTAGTTGAGATAACATATAATTTTGAGTTTCCGATGGTTAAATTAATCTCCTTCATTGTATTAACTTGAACTTTTTCCAGTTCAATCAACTTAAAATTTTAAGGCAACCAGGTTACTTACTTTTTTAAGTTAAACCATCAGTAGTTTTTTTTTACAGTGATCAAAGCTAAATATTCAGCATCATTACTTCATTCTTCAGTGTCACGTGATCCTTCAGAAATCATTCTAATATGCTGATTTCATGCTTAAGAAACTTTCTTATTATCAATATTGAAAACAGTTGTGCTGCTCAATATATATATATTCTTGGATACCTTGGATGCATTTTTTTCTGATAATTAATGGAAAGTTTAAAAGAACAGAATTTATTTGAAGTAGGTTTTATATTTATATATATTTATATATATATATATATATAATATG